TTGAGCCTCAGTCCATACTGAAGGCTGCAGTCCTTGACCCTCTGCAGTAAGTGCATTAGGTCCTCCTCAGTTTCAGTGAGCAAGGTTGTATCATCTGCATAATGCAGATTGTTGATAGATCTTCCACCAATCCTAACAGGTTTTAAAAAATTATCTTCTGTACTGAGTCCAATAGTGTATCCCACAAAACTTATGTCCTTCCCAGGTACTCATAAGGTGTTTTATTTGCTAGTAATGCTGTTGTAGATTAAACTGATGTCATACTTGGTTAGTTGAACCTTTAGAACATTCTGATGGTATCTTTATAAAAGAAAAGAGACAGAAACAGAGAAAAGAGAGTCATATGAAAAGAGGAGAAATAGGAGTTATGCTACACACGCAAAGCAACACCCGGAATAATCAACAGCTAGATGATGAAGAAAAGATTTCTCCCCCTAGAAGCTTCAGGAAAAAACACATTCTTCCTAATACCTTAACTTCAGATATGAGCAAGAGCCTATGGTTACAAAGGAAGAAGTTCAAGCTGCTTTGAAAGAAACAGCAAAAAATAAGGCCCCAGGAATAGACAGTATACCAATTGACATATTTCAGCTAACAGATGCTGCCCTGGATGTGCTCGCAAAGTTGTATCAAGAAATCTGGAGAACAACCACTTGGCCAACTGACTGGAAGAGATCTATATTTGTCCCCATTCCAAAGAAAGGTGACCCAACAGAGTGTGCAAACTATAGAACAATATCGTTGATTTCACATGCAAGCAAGATTGTGCTGAAGATTATCCAAAAACGACTGGAACAGCACATCACCAGAGAACTGCCAGAAGTCCAGGCTGAGTTTAGAAGGGGTCATGGTACTAGGGATATAGTAGCTAATGTTAGATGGATATTGGTTGAAAGCAGGGAGTACCAGAGGAATGTCTATCTGTGCTTCATTGATTATGCAAAGGCGTTTGACTGTGTGGACCATAACAAACTGTGGCTGACTCTGAGAAGCATGGGAATCCCAGAACACTTTATCGTGCTAATGCAAAACTTATACTTGAACCAAGAGGCTGTTCTCAGAACAGAGCAAAGAAACACTGCATGGTTCAAAACTGGAAAGGGCGTATGCCAGGGATGTGTCCTATTCCATACCTTTTCAACCTCAACAGATCATCCGGGAAGTTGGGCTCTAGGAGGAGAAATGTGGCATCAGGATTGGTGGAAGATCTATCAACAATCTGCGTTATGCAGATGACACGACTCTGCTTGCTGAAACTGAGGAGGACCTGAGGCACTTGCTGCTGAGGGTCCGGTACTGCAGCCTTCAATTGGATTGAGGCTCAAAGTCAAGAAGACAAAGATTCTCACCACTGGACCAATTGGCAGCATCAGGATAGAGGCGAAGAGATTGAGATTGTTCACAGCTTTAGTCTGCTTGGCTCCACAATCAACACTCTTGACACAAGCAGCCAGGAAATTAAAAGACGTATTACAATGGGAAAGTCTGCTGTTAGGGACCTCTCTAAAGTAGACAAGAGCAACAATGTGTCTCTGGAGACTAAGGTGCATCTGGTACAGACCATGGTCTTTGTAATCACTTGTTATGTGTGAGAGAGCTGGACAACGACCAGGGAGGACAGAAGGAGAATTGATGCTTTTGAGCTTTGGTGTTTGAGAAGAGAGCTGAGAGTGCCATGGACTGCTAAGAAAACAAACAGATTCATCCTAGAGAGGGTTAAACCAGGCTACTCCTTGGAGGCAAGGATTCTGAGACTTCGTCTGACATACTTTGGTCATGTTGTAAGGAGGGACCAGTCCTTGGATAGGGACATCATACTTGGATGGGTGGAGGGCAGGCACAGGAAGGGAAGGCCCTCTGGGAGATGGATTGATTCGGCGACTGGGGATGAGTGTGTTGGAGGCAATGAGATTGGCACAGGACAGAGCAGAGTTTAGAGCTGTTGTACATAGGGTCGCTATGAGTCGCAAGTGACTCGATGGCACATAACAACAACAACAACAACAACATTATCTGAGAGAATAAATTTCTATTGTTTCAAGTGACACATCTTATGTTACTTTAATATGACAGCCCTAGACAATAGATACATTTCCTGAAAAAAAGTATTATTTAAAAGTATATTTGAGAAGACAATGCATAAAAGGAATTGCAAATAACACAGAAATTCATAACGGGAAGGAGAGATTGATCTGATTATATATCCAGCTGAGCAGAAAAATTATCTCTAAGGCTTATTTTAGAATAGTTTAGTGTATTTCATCATAATTTCTAAAAATCTAATGCATATAGAGTTCCTTGTTAATTCACCATCTATACAGATTGAAAAACACAAAAAGATATTACCTGAATTGGATGTTCACTAAATGAGGCTGGGAACCATCAGATTGCCAGTAAGTTTCTAGGTTGTCATCTCGTAACTGATCTACACCAAATCCTAGAAACACCAAAGGGAACAATAAATAAATTTTTATGAAGAAGAAGGAACTATATTATTAAAAATTATAAAATCATTATATATATATTTGTCTATTAAGTTTGATACCTAGTATGGTTAGAACCATAAAATGCTAACCTTCTCGTGTCCGTATTTCAACAATTTAGAAAGTCACTTGTGCAAACAAAAGTTTACACTAGGACCAAGTGGTTTTGGTTATTAGTTTTAAATAACAGCTTCTAAACACTTCTACACTACATCTGGGAAGTACTGAAATCTAGTTTCTTATGCTTTCTCTAAGATGATAATAAAAATGATTTTAAAAATTATTCAGAAAAGTTCTCAAAAATAAAACAGATAGTAGGAAGTTCATCACAACAACCATGAGTTACCTCTGTACAGCAATTTGACAGATCAGTGCTATACCACTTAGAAGAATGTTTGACAAAAAACAATTTAAATCAGGCCTGAGGACCACAGATTAAAATCACCCACCGTGGGCTTGGTAGCATAACTTTCTGTCTACCAGGTTAACAGAACTCTCTCTATGTTGACATTGTTATTGTTACCAAGTGCCATCGAGTCATAGACAACTCATTGTGACCCTATGAGCAAAAGACCTGAACACCTGTATAACTTTGGTCGTTTCTCCATGTTCACAGAGTTTCTGGAGGCAACTTTTGTTCATAGGGTTGCCTATTAACCTGGCTGAGGGTCTTCTTCTCCTTCACTAACCTTCTATCCTTCCAAGCATCATGTTCCTCTCCAAACCACTCCTAGCAATATGCCTGAAGTATGATAGGCGAAGCCTCATCATCTTTGCCCTCAAAGAGCACTCCAACTGCACTCTCTCCAAGACATATCTCTTTGTTCTTTTGGCAGTCCATGGAATGCTCAGCGCTCTTCTCCACCACCATGGCTCAAAGGTCATCCCTATTCATTGTCTCAGATGCATAGCAAGTGAAAGAACATGGCCTGAATCAGATGAACCTTAGTCCTCAAACTGACATCATTACTGCTCTATAATTTGGAGAGGTCCCTTACTATAGACTTTCCCAGTGCAATACTTCTCCTGATTTCCTGACTGCTGGTACCAAGGATGTTAATTGTGGATCCAAGTAAGATGAAGTTGTTGACAGTTTCCATCCATCATGATGTTGTCTATCAGTCCAGGGGTAAGAATCTTTTTTTTCTTGACACTGAGATGCAACCTATACCTAAGGCTGCATTCCTTTATCTTCTGCAACAAGTGCTTCAAGTCCTCTTCACTTTCAGCAAGAAAGGTTGTGTCATCTGTATAATGTGGATGGGGGTCATAATTCACAGGACTAAGAACTTTTGGTCAAAAGACCCAAGTAAGTCCACATATTCATTCAAATACAAATCTCCTTAAGGGTATTGAGTAGAATTCAATCCTTCCCCTAGACTAAGCCCCAACACTTACTACAAGATTCAACTTTTAACAAGCTTATCTCCAGGGCAGATATTCCCTTTTAGCATTAGTAATTCAATTCAAGTACTGGCCAAAGGTGGAAATATACAGTTTCTACATTTATACTGTACATTTTTTTTTAATTCCCCTGCACTTTTTTTAGTTGATTTGCATATAACCACCTTTACACACTATGCCACAAACAATCCCTTATATACACTGTTCTTCATTAAAGTAACTACCACCTATCCATATCTATTTTCACACTGTCCCCCAAGATTCCACTGAACCTCCCCCAGCCCACCAGCCTCAATCATCCCAGTGATTATCTCTCCTTTCCCCTTTTTCCATTCCTCTCTTCTCTATTTTTTTGTTTTCATACAACAGTTCATTTATCTTTTAATTAACTCATGTATGTTGTGCTCACTGGAGAAGTTCAATATCAGCTGTGAAAAAACTAGGCCAGCTGCTGACTGTGGAACAAGCCACAAACTACTCATATGCAAATTCGAGCTGAAGTTGAAGAAAGCTAAACCAAATACATAGGAACCAAAATTTGACCCTAAGTCGATCCCAATCGAATTTGAAAACCATCTCAGGAAGTTTTGTGGCCTTGTGCACCAATGAGCAAAGACCAAATGAGCTATGGGAGGATATTAAGAATATCATCTGTGAAGAATGCAAAAGGTCATTACAAAGGCAGAAGAGGAAAAAAAAGACCAAAATGGATGTCAGATGAGTCTCTGAATATTGGACTAGAACACCAAGAAACCAAGGCAAAGGGAAGAAATCAAGAAATTAAGGGGCTGAACAGAAGATTTTGAAGGGCAGCTCAGGAAGACAAAGCAAAGCATTATTATAAAGAAATGTGCAAGAGCTGGACTCAGAAAATCTAAAGGGATAAAAAGTCACTTAGCATTTCTTAAGCTGAAGGAACTGAAAAATAACTTCAAGCCATGAGGGGTAATACTTAAGCCAGAATATTAAATGATCCAAGAAGCATTAAAAAAAGATGGAAGGAGTATACAGAGGCACTGTGCCAGAGGGAACTGCCTGACACGGAAGAATTTAATTAAACAACATATGAGCAAGAGCTTGTGATAATGAAAGAAGAAGACGTTCAAGCTGCTCTAAAAGAATTGGCAAAAAACAAGACTCCAGGAATTGACAGCATACCAACTGACATATTCCAACAAACAGTTGCTGTCCTGGATGCACTCATTAAGTTGTGCCAAGAAATCTGGAGAACCACCACCTGGCCAACTGGAAGAGATCGATATTTGTTCCCATTCCAAAGAAAAGTGACCCGACAGAGTATGGAAATTATAGAACAATTATCATTAATATCAAATGTCTGCAAGATTCTGCTGAAAATTATCCAAAAACTACTGAAAAAGCATGTCCACAGAGAACTGCCAGATGAATAGACTGGGTTCAGAAGGGGCTGTGGTACTAAGGATATTACAGCTAATGTTAGATGGATCTTGGCTGAAAGCAGAGAGTACCAGAGTAATGTCTATCAGTGTACCATTGACAATACAAAGGCATTTGACTGTGTGGATCACAAAAAACTGTGGCTGATTCTGAGAAGAATGGGAATACCAAAACACTTGATTGTGCTCATGTGAAACCTATACGTGGATCAGGAGGCAGTCATCAGAACAGATCAAGGAGACACTGTACGGTATGTCAGGGATATACTCTGTTTCGGTACCTTTTCAGTCTATATGCAGAATACATCACCTGGGATGCTGGGCTGTATGAAGAGGAATGTGGCATCAGGATTGGAGGAAGACTCATCAACAAACTGCATTATGCAGATGACATACTATGCTTGCTAAAACTGAGGAGAACCTGAAGCACTTGCTGTAGAAGATTAAGGACTACAGCCTTCAATATGAATTGAAGCTCAACATCAAGAAAACAAAGATGCTTACCACTGAGCCAACTGGCAGCATTATGGTGAAGAGATTGAGATTGTTCACAGCTTTAGTTTGCCTGGCTCCACAATCAACACTCTTGGTATCAGCAGCCAGGAAATCAAGAGACAAATTGCATTGGGAAAGTTGGCTGTCAGAGACCTCTCCAGAGTACTGAAGAGCAACGACATCAGTCTGGAGACTAAGGTGAGCCTGATCCAGATCATGGTCTTCAGAATTGCTTACTATGAGTAAAAGAGCTGGACAATGCTCAAAGATTATAGAAAGAAAATTGATGCCTTTGAGCTGTGGTACTGGAGAAGTGTTGAATATACTATGGACTGTTAGATCAAACAGGTTCGTCCTAGAGAGAGTAAAGCCAAGCTGCTCCTTAGAGGCAAGGATTCTGAGGCTTTGTCTGACATACTTTGGGCATGTTGCAAAGAGGGACCAATCCTTGGAGAGAGATATCATGCTTGGAAGGGTGGAGGGACAGAGAAAGAGAGGGAGACCATCTATGAGATGGATTTTTACAGTGACTGAGGTAATGAGGGTAGGTGTGCCCAAGACAGTAAAGTTGGCACAGGATAGAGCAGGTATCAGGGCTGTTGTACAAAGGGTCACTATGACAAGCGACTCAATGGCACATAGTAATAAACAACAAGAAGATGCTACACACTACACTAGGATGGAGAACATGAACTTTGTGATCTACATTATGCCAATTTACATAGTTGTCCAATTAGACTATTATCCCAAGCTTTCAAAACCAGAAAACTGGTCTCAGGTATTTAATTGTGTCTATGGAATATCTGTAGTTGTGTCTTAATACATGTGCCTGTCAAGGCATAGGGTCACTATGAGTCATAACAATTCAACAGCACTTAACAACAGCAACAAGTGTATCTGTATTAAGACATGACTTTAGATGTGTCTGTTCTAACAGGTATGTGAAGTTTTTCTTCTCGTATGACTCTTCCTAGCCATTTGACTTTGCTATGTAGAGGGACAGGAATATGTGAATGGGGCATGTTAGCCTATCCAGAAGGGGAATAGATATCTACCATTCCACAAGGAATTGGTCAGTCTCAACAATCTATAAAGGGATGGCTAATCGCACCATTTATTTGAGAAAGCCAGCAGCGAGAGGCAGGCAGACCTTCTGGCACCACTGAAAAAGAAGCAGAAGAATACAGAACACCATTCTTGCTCTAGTTACACCAAGAGCAGCAACATCTATGGCCAAACTGGAGATAGGACATGAGATGGGATCTTAGGAGGGTAAAACATGTATTTCCAGGACTGAGAATTTTATTGGACAACTAGAGGTGAGAAACCAATATTGGTAGGACTAAAAATTTAGGAACACTGGCCTAAAGCTGGAGGCTCGAGGCTGAGGTGACTGTGTGTACTTTTCATGTGCTGTTTTAATTGTATTTTTATTAGTCTGGATTATAACTTTTTAAAATTTTTTTATTATTATTTTTTTTATGTGTGTACTGTCAAATCGGATCTGACTGGTACAGGGGGTGATTATTCCTCCTCCTTCAGCAGAGCATCTGGTGGATTTGAACCACGCACCTCTGGGACTGCAGTGCAGCTTCTTGCCACTAGGCCACCAGAGCTCGCTGATTAAACCTTTTGACTTC